GAGCAGAATTTTATAGACCCATGGAGGGTGACACATCCGCAAGAAAAGGATTTCACATTTCACTCAGTGGCACATAACTCGTACTCCCGAATAGACCGCTTCCTGATACCTACCTCCTTGATTAGCAACGTGGTCAACACAACTATAGGCCTTATAACGTGGTAGGACCATGCGCCGATCATTCTCCACTTGAATGAACAATTCCCTGCTAAAGGGAGAGGAACTTGGCGGCTTAACGAAAGCTTGCTCAACGACCCCAAAATATTAGAAGACCTACATAGGGAACTGGAGGTCTATTTTTCGACTAATTCTCAACCAAACACACCCACAGAAGTTATGTGGTTAGCCCATAAGGCATACATTAGGGGTGTATTAACTAAGCACGCGAGCAGGGCCAAAGCGGCGCGTATAGCTAAATACATAAACCTCACCAGCCGCCTCACAACATTAAACACATGTAATAAACAAACACCCTCAAAGACGCACCTTAGGGAGATTACAGAAGTACGTGCGCAATTACAAGAACTGGAAGTGGCTAAAACAAACTTTTTCCTAAGGCGTCTCAAAGCCAAATTCTATGAGCAAGGAAACAGGGCAGGGAAAGTACTTGCCTCCAGGCTTAAAAAACGTAACCTCGCAACTAAAATAGCTTACATTCACAACCCCCAGGGTCAGAAAATCGTAAACCCTGATAAAATAGTTCAGGAATTTGCTCAGTTTTACCACACACTCTATAATCTTAAAGATGATAACCTGACACCCCAACCCACACAAGAACAGATAGACGAATTTCTAGGGAAGGTCCAGCTACCCTTGCTGCCCAATGATAAGATATCTGACCTTATTAAACCAATTTCCGTTGAGGAAGTTACACAAATGATTAAAGATTTACCCAATTCTAAATCGCCAGGACCAGATGGACTCTCCTCCATATACTATAAAACCTTCCAAACTGCTCTTACACCACACTTAATTTCTTTGTTTAACCAAGGTTTCACACAAGGTAAATTACCTGGTGAAATGCTACGAGCTCACATAGTCACTCTACCCAAACCAGGTAAAAAACCCACAGCATGCGCTAATTTCCGCCCGATATCCCTATTGAATATTGATACCAAACTATATGCAAAAATTCTGGCGACTAGACTCAAACATTTACTCCCCACTCTAATCCACTATAACCAATCTGGCTTTGTCAAAGGCAGACAGGGCTCAGACAATTCTAGGCTTCTTCTTAATGTCCTGGAGGGTCTCAACACTAACAAACTGGGAGGACTGTTGCTCGCATTAGATGCGGAAAAAGCCTTTGATAGGCTCAATTGGCTATACATGAAATCGGCACTAAATAAATTTGGCTTTCCTTCAGCATTCATAACAGCAATTATGGCCTTATATTCCTCTCCAGAAGCTAGTGTCACCAACGCAGGATTCGTTTCCACACCCTTTCCAATTTCGAACGGAACGAGACAGGGTTGTCCTTTGTCCCCCCTGCTTTTTATACTATGTCTAGAACCCTTAGCCCAGATCATTCGGCAGGACCCAAACATTCACGGAGTCACTGTCGGCGAACACCAATACAAACTCTCATTATTCGCTGATGACATTCTGCTGACACTGACGAGGCCAAAGATATCACTCCCAAACCTCATGCCCATCCTACAAACCTTTGGCTCTATCTCGTATTACAAACTTAATACGGCTAAGACTCAAGCCCTGCCTATTAATCTCCCCTTGCAGAATGCTGAGGAATTAAAAAAGACCTTCGATTTCGATTGGAGGACGGAGTCGGTAACCTATTTGGGAGTGCTTGTTGCCAAATCAATACATACTATATACAAACTAAACCATGTCCCTCTCTTAGAAATAATCCGTAAAGAGCTGAATTCATGGAAAGAAGTGATGATCTCATGGGCAGGGAGAATCAACGCGGTGAAAATGATGGCCCTACCTAAACTACTGTACTTATTTCGTATGCTACCGGTACCTATCCCACAAAGCTTTTGCAAGAAAGCCCAGTCCATTATTAATAACTTTATATGGGGAAACAAACGTGCGAGAGTAGCGAGTTCCACATTGTATAGACCATTCCAGATGGGAGGGATGGGGGTACCCCAGGTGGCCATGTATCACCTGGCGGCCATACTATCCCAAGCAGTAAATCTTCACGCAGACAAGGGACGACTACTTTGGGTCGACATGGAACGCAAACAATGGCCTAAGGAAACCCTCCTAGAGTATATGTGGTCCCCACCAGCTAAACGGGGGAAAGCACGTACACTCTTCTCAACAACGAAACTGACCATACACATATGGGATAAGTACAAGGCACTTCAAACTAAGACTTCCAGATTCCATAGACTGGCTCCACTGACCGCCATGTCCACAGTGTTACCATGGCTCCCACTATCCACATGGGCGAAAGCGGGCATCACTAGTATCTCCCAGCTACTCTCTGGTACGGGAATCACTCCTTTTGCCGACCTCCAACAGAAGTACAGTCTAGCCCCTAGATACATATTCCCTTACCTCCAAATTAAAAGTGCATTATTGGAGCATGTCGATAGGACCTTAGAGGGCAAGGCTGGAGAACCAAATCAGCAATGCGACCTGCTTATGTCATGTTGGAAATGTCCCCTTAGGCCTAAATTGCTCTCAAAGTGCTACAAAGCAATATCGAACTTCCCACTCTCCCCATCCCTGTCTTTTATGTCCCAATGGGAAAAAGAAAGCGGAACAACTCTCCTTCCCCACAAATGGCTAGCACTGGTTAATGCACTGACTGGTCATACTGCGTGCTACTCACACATAGAAGCTCACAGAAAGCTAATGTACCGATGGTATCTGACACCAGACAGGCTCAGCAAAATCTATCCAAACACCTCTGACCGATGTTGGAGGTGCCGAGCCCAAGGAGGCACGATGCTCCACATATGGTGGGGATGTGACCTTATTCAGCCATTGTGGTTGGTGGTCGCAAGATTGCTTAGCAACGTAGATATTATTCTCCCGCTGGAGTTTGGGTCCTGCCTTTGGTTGGACCTTCCCCCCAGCTGGACGAAGCAGGAGAGGGGACTGGCCGCACAGGTGATACTGGCGGCTAGGGCTCTCATAGCGCTCAATTGGAAATCAACCATTTGCCCGTCTGAAAAGAACCTCATGGACAAAATCCGACTAAATTATGTGTATGATATCTCTTCTGCGATAACTCCTAACCAAAAACATAAAATATCTAAAACCTGGGAACCTTGGTGTCGCCACTATCAATTTCAGCCTCCATAAAACCATCATCCGGCCTGAGACCCGGATCATACACACACCTGTTACTAACGGTATTATATTTCTAAAAAAAACAAAAAAAAACAGGGACTTTAGCGCAAGGAACGCCTTAGATCCCCCCCCCCCTCGGCCTCCACCTAGATGCTGGATAGCAATCAGATTGTGTCTCCCTCACGTTAAATTGTTAAACTGTTTTTTGTTACACTATATTCTACCTTATTTTTTTCGGTTTCACTTTTTGTTTAGGAAGGTTCAGGCAGAGCATTACCTGGTCACCTGTGCAATACCTCACAGAATTCCACACTTCTCAGGGATACATAGGAGGCATTAACAGCGTAGGCAGGGAGCCCCGTCCAGTGGAGGGACAGTAAGACCTTAAAAGCAAGAGGGCCAAACCTTGAGCCTCCTTGATCCCCCCCAAACGCCCTACAAGGTTAAGGTATGCGACATACAAGCAGATCGCATAACAAATAGGCTAGAAATAACTAGAGCATCGCCCTCAGCGCACGCAAGAAGCTGATAGCTCCATGGCCTCATCGACGAGATACACTTGGAGGGTGAACAGTGGGGTATAGGTAGTGCCAGTTTTGACTTGGGATGAGCAGCAACTACTTTACGCCCAAATAACTGCGCACCTAGTTAGACGGTGATTAACATGAAATGTGAATGTCATTGTGATGTATCAGATTCTCTGTACTGTAACCCTGAACCCCTTACCCTACCCTTTTTTTCCTTCTGTACCCACTCCCTACTCTCCTTTGTGTCAGAAAAAACCAATAAACTCAAATTTAAAAAAAAAAAGTGGTTAGCTGGATCCACAATGGGCAGCAGTGATTAGCTGAGAGTGTCAACTGACCACTTTCAGTCTATCACAGCTACCATTGCTGGTATAAATAGGTGTTTGTAATTAGCCATACCTTCAGTGAGTGGCAAGTTGTGGTTGGCCAGGGATCCTCATTTAGTATTCAACTGCTTCAAAAATAGTTTAAACAATGAGTGTAGCTATGGGGGACAGTAGGCACAATAACAAATTCAATGAGATAAAATGCCTACATTGTCCCTTTAACTAAGGAAAAGTGGGATACTAGCCAGTGCAGCTAATCAGTTAGCACATAAGTTTGTTTAACTTTATGTAAAAAAAAAAACTAAATGCACAAGATATTTCATGGAAATGTTACGTTTTATGTAGCACTTGCTTGCTGAATCACCTGGTGAAAAATGTATATATTTTAAAGACTTGGCTTGATATCATTGGTACAAACCCATTCATTTGGGCAAAATTATCAGCCAGGTAGGATTTATATGGAGATCATTTACAGACTCAAAGACAAAATATTAAAAAATTCTCCAACTCAGTTATGTTGGCCTCAAATACTTGAAGAGTCTGAAGTGCTATTGCAGCATATCCCTAAAAGGTGCAATTGATTTGCCTTGAACAAACCTTACTCTAGTTAATAAACCCTACAGTAGAGGGGTGCACAAAAGGTAGATCCCAGATGTAAAACTAAAACTCCCATGATGCTTTGGAATGAATTTAAAATGGCAAAGTATCATGGAAGCTGTAGTTTAAAAACAGCTGGGGATATACCTTTCAGGCACCCCTGCTATAGTACATTTGTTCCAGACTTTAAAATGGCCAAGAGTAGATAAAAGTATCAACATTTACATAAAATGTTTGATTGTGAGAGAAGAAAGTATACTAAATAAAAAGTAATATTCATAGTCTTGGTTATAAAAGGTATCTTGTTAGTTTATTTTTTTAACATCCTTCCCTCCTCCGTTGATCATAGCACCGAGTTTTAGTAACCTGTATATGACCGGACTCACAAACAAATCCATTTATCGTGGTACCATTTTTCACCACATATACTACATACAACAAATGTCATCATTTCTTCATCTGGATTTCCAGTGCGCACCCAACCAGGTAGAAACAAAGTCCCTCTGGAAATCATAGTTACTGTGCAGTTAAAATTCTCACACTTCTGACATTTAATTTTATTAGTCTGGACTCCATCAACACTCTGAGGAAGCTGGTGTTCCTGTATGCCTGCCTCTGTGTAGCTAGCTCGAAGTTTCCTAAGCTCTTGACTAGCCATTTCCATTGAACTCATCTGAGCAAATCTCATTGGACTTAAATCTCCTGAGAAAAGTTGGCTTCTAAGATGCTTATTTTGGGGATTCTTTAAATTAGATACTTTACTTCTGATGCAGTTTCTATATTTTTTGTCATGCCCAGAATGAAGAGAAAATATGTATTTCTCTATCTCCTCTGCCAAGTGCTGTGCTTTCTCTTGGTACTCTATATTTTCTGTTAGGGCTCGGCACAGAAGAGCTGTAGATGTAGTCCTTAGAGCACTATCTTCAACAGCTATTTTCTCTTGACAGAGATTCACAGCAAATTTGGGCTGACTACTGCAAAGTTCATGTGTACTAGACTCCTTATTCAAGTACTCTTCATTAGAAGACAGTGAAATACTTGGAATTCCAACATCAAGTATTCTTTGATCATTCTGCTGAAGTGGGTCTCTACAGCTTACGGCAACTTTTTCAGAAATTCTATTGTCTTTACACATAGGACGCTCATTGTTTAAGGTACTGGTTTTAACACAGCCTTTTTTATACAATGTTTTCCATTTAGATAGTAGGCACTTTGTTCTCTTTCTCAGGTCTCCTTGTGGGCAGCTCTTAAGAACTCTATAGATAACGCTGACAATGTCTGTTTGTTGTAGAATTTCTAAAGTGACATCATAAGTTTCAAAATCAGTAAGGTGAAATGCAATGTCCTCATACTTTCGTTCAAGCAGAAGATTCTCCACTTGTAAAGCTCTGCATGTTAACTCCATATTAATTTTCTAGAATTCCTGCCAATGGAAACATAAAAAAAATGAAGTGTGATGAAATCACTAACTTTGCAAATGTTAATAAACCATATAGTACAGGGGTGTCCAAAAGGTAGATCCCAGATGTTGTAAAACTACAACTCCCATGATGCGTTGCATGCTTCTGGAATGCATTTAGAATGGAAAAGCATCATGGAAGCTGTAGTTTAAAAACATCTGGGGATATACCTTTTGGGCACCCCTGCTATAGTACATTTGTTCCAGACTTTAAAAGGGCCAAAAGTAGATAAAAGTATCAACATTTACATAAATGTTTGACTGTGAGAGAAGAAAGTATCCTGAATAAAAAGTAATATTCATAGTCTTGGTTATAAAAGGTATCTTGTTAGTTTATTTTTTTATTTTTTTTTAAGAAAGGCACACATTTAAAGGGACACTATAGTCACCAGAACAACTACAGCTTATTGAATTTGTTCTGGTGAGTAGACTCATTACCTTCAGGCTTTTTGCTGTAAACACTGTTTTTTTCAGAGAAAATGCAGTGTTTAAATTACAGCCTAGTGATAACTTCACTGGCCACTCCCCAGATAGCTGTTAGAGATCCTTCCTGGGTCATGGCTGCCTAAAATGCATCCAAACATTCAGTGTCTCCTCCCTCTGCATGCAGACACTGAACGTTCCTTAATACAGATTAATTGATTCAATTCATCTCTATGAGGAGATGCTGATTGGCCAGGGCTGTGTTTGAATCATGCTGGCTCTGCCCCTGATCTGCCTCTTTGTCAGTCTCAGTCAATCTTTTTGGGAAGCATTCTGATTGGATCGGGCTGCCACTTCTGATGATGTCAACAGACTGCTTGTTTTTTTTTGAGGCAAACAGCATGCAGAGTTACAGCTTCTGGCTTGAATACAGTAAGATTTTGCTATATTTATGGAGGCATGAGGGGCGGGGGGCTAGATGGTGGTGTTAACACTATAGGGTCAGGTTTGTGTTCCTGACCCTATAGTGATCCTTTAACATCCTTCCTTCCTCCGTTGATCATAGCACCGAATTTTAGTAACCCGTATATGACCGGGCTCACAGACATCCATTTATGGTGGTACCATTTTTCACCACATGTACTACATACAACAAATGTCATCATTTCTTCATCTGGATTTCCAGTGCGCACCCAAGACTTCTTAAATTAAAACATATGATTTTTTCCCCACTACTTTTAAACATTATAGAGATAGGAAACAAAACATGTATAACTAACGCTATATTATTCCCTTACCTATGTAGGTGTCCACTGCAATTGCAGGGGTTTAAAAGTCAAACTTTATTTACCTTACATCCCGTGGAGCACTGTTCTCTGTGCTAACTTGGTTATAGCTGTGCGAGCACCTTCCTGACAGCCACTATAGTCATGCAATGAAAGCTTTATAGTTTCTGCAAAACATAAATGTTTTCAATTGCAGGGCTAAAAAGATAGGGATGCACCCTATTACAAAACTAAATAAAATACATTTAATAAAAAAATAAAAATAAAAGACAGGGGCATCAGATTAAGAGGTCTGGGTACCTACAAACTCTCTTAAAATGTGTTATATATGACTAGCAAATGTCCAGCAGCCTTAAAAGGTACACTATAGTGTCCCTCTGTCCCTTCTCCCTTCCTCCCAGTGGCAGGATTAAAAACCAAAAAAAAAAAAAAAATGCACATGTGCGGCAAGACACGCACATTAAGCCTACCCCATAGGAAAGCATTGAATAAATGCTTTTCTATGTGGATTTTGAACATGGTGGACATCCTCATGCGTTATGAGTACATGTTTAAAGGGACACTAGGCACCCAGACCACTTCAGCTAATTGAAGCAGTCTGGGTGATGTGAACCTTTTGCACTTAGTGCTGCAATGTAAAACATTGCAGTTTCAGTGAACTGCAATGTTTACATTGCAGCTCTAAGTTTGCCCTCAGTGGCTGTCTAACAGACAGTAACTAGAGGGCTTCCGGAATCCAAACGGACTTTTGGCCCGTTATCTGACGGTGGAGGTCCTTACGGACCTCCAGCGTCACATTTTCCCCATAGAAAAGCATTGAAATGCATGCGCATTAGGCTCATCCCCACCGGCTGACATCAGTACGGGAGGAGCGTGGGCGGAGTCTGACCCGGCGCCAAGGGACTTCGGCGCTGGATTCAGGTAAGTGGCTGAAGGGGTTTTAAACCCTTTAGCGATGTGGGATGTTGGGCAGGAGGGCACTCCAGGAGCCTATAGTGCTAGGATAATGGGTTTGTTTTCCTGGCACTATAGGATCCCTTTAAGAACCTTGTATTTGAACTAACTAATGCATAAATGCATTGTCATATGTCATTTAGGCTGTGTCATTTATGGTGACACAAATTAAATTTAAAAGAGCTAATAAAACTGATAGTAAGTCATTATAATTAACCAATGAGTACATGTTAGCATCAAAGGTTTTAGAATATGAGCTCAATTGGAGCTTCATGACAAAATTCTAGGAGAATTAATCAATGAATACATAACGTAATTTATGGGGAAGTTTAACATTCCAAATTGAAATTGGCCAATGAAATTCGACAAACAGAGCTTGAGTTATATATATATATATATATATATATATATATATATATATATATGGCAAGCTAACACAAATATATCATTTCCTATGAGGACTACACTACTGATCCAGGATGGAATTTATTAAGATCAGCAAAAGTACTGAACTTCTAGTATGAAACAAGTACACCTTCCAGCAAGAGAAAATTGGGAGTACACAATATATTACATTCTTTGGATGGTGTTGGCACAAGGAGCCTGAAGAGAGCAACCACACACCCAACAAGGTTGGCATGGAAGTTAAGAGGATTCCTGGTGTATTTACAGTAAAAACTGGCAGGACATAGGCTTCCACCTACTTCCACTGTTGGTGTAACAAACTGCAGTCATCGGTTTGCGAATGGGACATACATTTAAAGGGTTATTCCAAGCAGGTAGCATCTGGAGGGCCAGAGATTAGAGAACTCTGTTCTCTAAACTCTGGCCCTCCAGATGCTACCGAACTAGAACTCCCATGATACTTTGAATGAAACAGATAGCCAGAGAATCATGGGAGTTCAGCAATATCTGGAGGGCCAGAGTTTCTAGAAATCTGTTTTAGAGCAAGAGAGACAATTGCAGGTTGCATTTAGTAGTCATACCCAATGTTAATCTTTCTCTCATCTATCTCTCAACAGAGTCTACCTGTACCAATCTTTTAATGCCGTTACAGACATGCACTGACACTGCACATACAACCATATACCAAGCACAAACACTGAACAACTATATAGTGGGACAACTATATAGAAAAAAAATAGTTAGACCTATAAGTTGTATAAACAATAATACATTTATTAATTATAATACACAGTGCAAGGTTGTAATAGTTTGAGTCCATGATCAAGCTGACTCTGTCCATAGGCAGAACATTTTCAGTAAGAAATGCAGAGAGCTACTGATGGTATGGCCCAACACCAAAATGGTACAAACAAGCACCTATAGACAAAAATAGGAAAGCTTTAAAAAAAAAAAAAAAAAAAACTTGCTTGAATTTTTGAAACTCCTCCATGACATGGTTTATAGTTTCCACAGTTTTCTGAATCTTCTTGTTTCTCTCAACAACATTTGCCATTAGGTGTTATTGGGCTGCACACAGAAAAAAAATAGTGCTTGACTTTGATTGTAAAATTCTGCAATGTATCAATTTTTATAACGTAAATATATACGTATGTATTCTACTTACTGGGAAGAGGGGGAAGCACTGCAGCAGATAGAGGAGAAGATTAGAAATTGGGGAACAAGAGAGTAAAGAGTACAGAAGGAATTATGGGAAGGCTTCGTCTATATATAGCTGTGTATATATAGCAGTGTCGGTGGCTAGGGTCCAGTGGAAACCGGGCTGGCAAGGTAAAGGTTAAGGACAGAAGCTGTGATAGCTGCTATGGTCTGCTCTACTTCAGTGTGGATTCCTCTTTGTGTAAATTGAGGATTGTCCCTCACCACCTGCAACCTCTGCTGAGGTTGCACTAGCAGATATTTGAAGTCCACTTGGACTCTTAATAGGCCAGAGCCTGTTTGGCTCTGGCAGACTTGAGTGCCATAGGTTGCTTACCCCTGGCCTAGATACAAATAGACCTCTATAGCCCTTACACAGAAATCTCAGCCCCCTAGCCAAACATACTACTCCACAAATAAAAATCTGCACTTTTATAAAAGTCACTTGCCAGGCTGTTAAACTCAGAGTCGGGAGGTTGTCTCCACTAATGCCTTTTACTGGAGCACAGGGCCGCATTCAGGGCATGACAATCGTAACGGTTGTCATGGGCCCGGCGGTCCTGGGGGGCCCGGACTGCTCAGGTCGTCCGGGCCCCACATTCAGTGGTGTACAACATACCGGGTCGCAGGGGGCCCTGCGACCCCAGTATGTACCCACTGGGCCAACCTCTTCTCCTTGGGGGCCCAACAGCCGGTCACCTCAGGGCCCCCCAGAGGCTGGCCCTGCTGACACCGGGCGGGCGCGCGAGGGAGCACTGTCCCTGGCTGAGTGTTTCCTCTTCAGCTCCCTCGTGCACCGCACTGATGCCGGAGCCGGAAGATGACGTCATCTTCCGGCACCAGCTTCAGTACGCGGCGCGCGAGGGAGCTGAAGAGGAAGCACTCAGCCAGGGACAGTGCTCCCTCGCGCGCGCGCGCAGGAACAGCCGCCGGGTGTCACCACTGGACCCCAGGGAATCCCCTCAAGGAAAGAAATTTGAGGGGGGAAAAGAAGGACATTTGAGGGGGGAGGGGGCTGACATCGAGGGGAGAGTGAAGGACATTTGAGGGGGGAGAGGAAGGACATTTGAGGAGAGGGAAGGACATTTGAGGGGAGGGGGGAGAGAAGGACATTTGAGGGAGGGGGGAGAGGAAGGAAATTTTGAGAGGAGGGGGGAGAAGAAGGAAGTTGGAGAGGAGAAGAAAATAGAAATTGAGGGAGGGGAGAAGAAGGAATCAGGGGAGAAGAAGGAAATTGACTTGGGAGGAGGGGAGAAGAAGGAAATTGACAGGGGGAGAGATTGACATCCATCACACACACACACACACACACAATGCACCCCTGCACACAGCAGAAAACACAATGCAATACACACAGACACACATACACAAGCAATGCATCCCTACACACACAGCAAAACACAATGCATCCCCATAGACGACACACACTGCATCCCATACATACACAAACTCCACCTTGCAGCCCTTACACATACAAACACACCACAATGCATTCCTTACACATCAGGACATCCCCCCACACACAACTCCACTCCCTGTGAACAAACTCATTGGTGGAACATGAAGGTGGACCCTGGGATCCAGACATTGAGCTGTGTAAAGGGCCCTCAAAAAAATGGAGCTGCTTCCTGTTCTCCCAGAACAGTGATTTTTGTGACCACAGTTACAAACCGCCTCCAGAGAGCCTTTTGTACACCAGACCAGTGGAGCCAGACAGCAGCTAGAGCCCATCATCATCCTCATCTGGTTGTAAGTAGGCAATCTAGTATATTATTCGTGGCACTAATCTCTAATTTACCCCACATTAAAGGGACACTATAGTCCCCAGAACCACTGCAGCTTAATGTAGTGGTTCTGGTGTCTATAGCCTGTCCCTGCAGGCCTTTTATTGTAAAATACCTAAGGCACTGGTGGAAGAATTAGTGTTAGTTAAAGGATCACTATAGTGCCAGGAAAAAACATATTCTCGCTTTCCTGGCACTATAGTGCCCTGAGGGGTGCCCCACCTTCAGTCTTTCTCCCTACCTCGGCTCTGGGGAGAGGAAAGGGGTTAAACTTACCTTTTCCAGCTGGCGTGAGCCTCCTACCCTGTCCTCCCTCCTCCTCCCATTCGGGTTGAATGCACACGCTGCAAGAGCCGCGCCACAGACGTGTCTCATAGAAAGCATCTAAATTCTCCTATGGATTCTGGTGTGTTCCTCACTTTCGTGATTTTCTACAGTGAGAATCACGCATGCTCTAGCTGTCACGAGACAGCCACTAGAGGATTAGGGGGAAGGCTTAACCCATTCATAAACATAGCAGTTTCTCTGAAACTGCTATGTTTATAGAAAAAATGGGTTAACCCTAGCTGGACCTGGCACCCAGACCACTTCATTAAGCTGAAGTGGTCTGGGTGCCTAGAGTGGTCCTTTAACATGGCAGATCATATGGGTGGGGCGGCAAACTTTACTTTTGCCTAGGGCGGCAAAAATCCTTGCACCGGCCCTGCAGACACTGCATCCCTGTGGGCAGACTCGAGGGGGGGGAGGGGGGGGCAGCACTTTGGGCGGACTCGGGTGCAGGCACCGGGGGGCCCAGACCTTGAGCTGTGTCAGGGGCCCCAAAATTCTGATGGCAGCCCTGCTGGAGCACAATGTAAAACAAGCCAGGGTCTGCAGCTGAGAATGTATGGAGAGAGCTCTAATCCAGTGTGCATGGCCCTCCATCAGCTCTAGTATAAGGAATTAGAGGACCTTGGCAGGAGAAATGTTTACAGTGAAGATTTCTACAGGGAACACAGTGCAGTATTGTATGAGTATGTGGGTCAGCATGAATAAGCATGGAACATTAATTGCAGTTGGCTATAATCGAAAAAATTTTATAAATAAAAATGATTAACAAAAAGATATTCACAACTCCTAATATTGGCCACGAGTCCTTGCTCATGGCGTTTAAGTAAAAGGATTCAGCGATTATGCCGAAATCCATCATCCTGGAGAAAAAAAAGGATTATTCTGTCACATTTTACAGCAGATATGGTAAAATAGTAACATGGAAATTTATAATATTCAAATATAAAAAAATGCAAATATAAAAAGGTAAGTAACACCTACATTAATAATAGAAAAAAAAAAAAAGGTACAAATATGGATATGGTGACATAATAAGGGGAAGATGTATAATACTGAAATCTAGGTGTATCCAAATATAAATAAAGATAATCACTCACCTTGTCATCTTCCTTCAAAATCTTGTGCATGTAGACAGGGTCATATATGCCACGTAGCCTGTCTGGCAGGTGCTTGTCCATCATTTCTAAAAATGTCGCACGCTCTCGCTTATGTAAATTGGGGGCTATTGCTCATTGTTGGAGAGTTTGAGCAAAAATGGCGTCATGACATGGAGTGGAGGTTGTACTTTACCTTTGATCGTCAGTGCAAGTTTTTTAGAGAATACTAATAGACGTGTGACTGACGCAAGAGTTTAATGTGTCTACAGTGATGCAGCTATGTATACGGTTTAGGGAAGAAAACGTGATAAAGAGACACACACATCTAGTGTGGATGCAGGAAAAAAAAAGTTAATAGAGGACCTCCCCATAAAAAGAAAGCAGGTGCCAGTGTGTTATAAATTTGCAGAATTATAATTTATGATAAACAAGTGGCAGTGATATAAATAAAATTAGGCAGAAGATATGTGTCATATAATGACGCAACAATTTAAATAGACAATATTTGATGCGTGCCATAAATAGTGTGACATTGTGAAAGCGAAACTTCTGACAAAGTGCAACATTTTAAATAACGAGTAGCAAAACGCATATTATGAAATATCGACAGTAATGACACTGAACATAAATTGAGCAATATTCTAAAAGCAAAATTTTGACGTGACAATTAACACGTTTGAGATTTATAAGGGCAACATTGAGTTCTCTTTTTGATGCATGCCACAAAGCTTTCAGTACTGTATTAGGATTAAAACAAGTAATTAACATTGTTGTGCAGATATATTGATAAGGAAAGGCTACCTACATATATGCTTGCATGTTCTATTTATATAAGCTATATAAAAATAAAATTAAATCATCAGCAAACATGATAGAATAAAAGAGTGCTGTCCCATAAATCCATATAAACATGATAATATACTCACTACTGAAAAATACACCTTCAAAACGCTCCTGGCAGATCTGCCATTTAACAGCTAGTTCCCATCTAGTTAAAGGCCCTGCTTTGTCACTGCAGTCATGTGACTGGGTAGGTCACATGATACAGATCGCTACAGGAAGTAAAAACTCAAGTTTCATAAAAATGAGAATGAGATTAGGCTGCTGATAGACACAGCACAGAGCAGGGTCACTGGGCTACTGTGCTACTGTAGAAAGAAAGACTCTGAGGAAAAGTGAAGTATAATTTAATAGTTCTATTTAAAACAAAGCCCTATGCAGTTGTTGAGGTTGAGGTGTGTACATTTTTTTAAAAATAATTTATTCTGTCTATATGAATTAGAACTTTAAAATAAATAGTGTGAGGAATCTTTTTAGGATTCCTAGGATTCCTCTGTGTGTGTGTGTGTTAAAATGATCTATTCACTAAACAGTGATGTGTGAGAAATGTGTACCTACATTTTCAGGCTAATAATTGTACCTATAAATGTACTGATTGCATATACGTAAGATGCAGTGGTTTTGGTGCTTTGGGGGCAGCAGGTCAGCCTGCTTTGGATGTTTGCCAGGCTGACAGCCAGCCCCATTTGGGGGTTTACATGTTGAAATCACTGTTAAAGCACCCTACCCATGGGCTGCACAGTTTGCACAGTGTGTGTGTGTGTCTAATGAATATGGTCTTGCACTGTGTGTTATATTGACTTGGTTTCTGGTGTCCCCAGATGCAGAAACAGTGCTACAGGAGCCCAAATGCAGAAGTCTCCCGCTGAGCCTCAGACTGTTGGGAAGTATGTCTGGGATATTAACTGAAGTGCGATTTGCCAGATATGGTACAGGAAACTAAAATTGCAGGCGCCAATTTAGGAACATGTTGCTCTTCATGACAATTTTATTAGTTGTATTAGTGGTTTAACACATTATACTTGAGGTAAAGATATAAAGATAGATGGTGACTTATATGTCTCCACTCTTCCCTCTTCTCCCTACCCCACCAGACCCTATCATGACAACCACCCTCATACCTTTAAAATGAGCATGTTGGATCAGAGTGCTATTGTTTTGATGAAAATGTCCTGTGTGTGCACATTGTAATCAATTTTAATGACACAATTGTGTTATATTTGCTAGTGACTTGCCACTAGTGTCCCCATAATGGTATAGAGCTGGTAAAGCTGCACTCACTGATTTTTTTTATGTAGAAGTTCCAGTATTTCTTGATTTCTTCATATTTATAATGAACATCCACTATACTGTGTGGGAACAAATGAGTTCAGTAGCCGGTATACCATTCAGTCCCACCTGAGGACTTTCCTCAGGACCAATAATTTATTAGTCCGTAGGAAAGTCCCCAGGTGGGACTGAAGTTTGTGTGTGTGTGTGTGTGTGTGTGTGTGTATATATGTTATTATGATATTTATATAGAGCCATCAAATTCCGCAGCGCTTTACAATGGGTGGACGAACAGACATGTAGTTGTAACCAGACAAGCTGGACACACAGGAACAGAGGGGTAGAGGGCCCTGCTCAATGAGCTTACATGCTAGAGGGAGTGGGGTAAAATGACACAAAAAGGTAAGGATAATATTAGACTAGTGACATATACATACACACACACACACAGACAAACTATAAAAGGATCTTTTTAAATAATAAATAATAACAATAATAATAAAAAAAGGTTGTTTCCTTCTAGTTTACTCTTGGTCAGTGAGGGGGACAAGCTGAGTCCTGGTGGTCCAGTGGGCAGAGCGTCTGGTCTACATCTCTAGCTGGTGTTTTCTTCCATGAGCTCCAGAATTAAGATGATACCAAAGCATTGCTATGGTAGCTTGTAGAAAATCTGTGAATGGCTGGACTTCGCAGGAGAAATACTAAAAGTCTGCATCTGCTGGAGGTGCAGACGAAATGCTCATCAAGCTACTTTGTATATATTTGTTCTGCCCACTGGTCCATGAAGGGACAGAGCTCCCTCTTTTGGCCAGTACTTGGTTTGTGTCCGATTGGCTGGGGAGATTCTATAATTTTCCTAGTTGGCCTTAGTCATTGCAGAATTCGCTAGTTTAACTAATGGTCAGTTCACACCTGATTGCGAGGTGATCTGCCACTGTCTGACAAGAAATCTGCTAATAAATAATCATGAAAACACCAATTGCTACCAATTAGAATCGTACATGATATACTTCTATAATCAAATTATGTACTATTCTCTCATAAAATTTACCTCCAATGTTTTCCTGGAGCTCCATGTGCAGCTTCAAACAGCTGTTATACAATTTCCACAGTTATTGTATAGCTCCCTGATCCCTGAAAAATAAGGTTTATCAAATGAATATGTAACCTGCTTTGCCAGCACATGCCGGTTAATTTGAATGAGGGCATGAGAGACAGGAAGAACACAAGAAGGAGTCTCTGGTCAACTTGGTGTTGCATCTCTGGACCAGACCGATAGCGCTACAATCAGAGCAGTCACGAGGGAGAATAAAGTCAGTGAAGAGAATCAAATCTCAAAATTAAATTCTAACACAGTAAATGTGTTAGTTTCATAAAGTTAGTGCCATGTTTGAAAACTACTTTAATTGATGTTTATAGTACCATGCTAGTTGGTATCATCAAGCAATATTCCAAGAACTACTTTTAATGTGTCATATATGGCTACTGTGAAACAGTTTCTCTGTTTTCTAGTCTGTTTCATAAAAGTGCCACATGAAACTTGTGCTATATCCTGGTTTGAATATGAGGTTTCTGAAGGATAATTTGTTCATGCTTTAGTCCCTTGATTGAATCAGTTTTCCTAGTAATATAAGATCTGGAAGGCACAATGATGAGGATGACTGACTCCTAAACAAAGGGCTTCTTTACATGCTTGTCAGAAGCGCCTTTGCAGGACTTTTGGAGAGGCTTGAAGGATAGTCTCCTTCCCACGGACTAGGGGTCTGGTCCCAAGAGCCCCTAGAAAGTGGCTATTATCACTGTGTGGAGGAGTATGGCGGCCCAGGACACTTACTGTGCTTCACACTTTCTAGGACCTCTGTGGATTGCCTGGACTTGCTTGACAAATCGAGCAGCTGACCGGGAGATACAGTACTGTGCTGAGCTCCGGTCAGTCTTTAAGTTGGTACGTCGTGGTACCCCCATCCTCAAAATAGAGTGGAATGTTAGAAGATACCTGGGCCTTGAAACTGCTCCCCTCCTCAGAGGTCCTGGAACCTTTTTTAGAAGACCATGACTAAGCCGCCGCACGCCTGAAACTACTCACTGGATCGGAGAATTGCCACTACCGGGTAATCCTTTAACACTCTGTAATTTGAATACAGAATCTTCTATTAGGCCGCTATTTGGACAGCAAGGACATTTGGTGACAAGCTTTCCATGGATATATATCGTGTGGGTGTATAATCCAGGAAAAGGGGTTATGATGCACATTGTGTGTGCTGTGCCTCTGACTATGAGGGCACAGCAGGGAGCCGCCTTCAGACCGAGTCAACAATTCTGTGTGTAAATAGCTGTGTTCTGTTCAATAAAAATCATTCTTCCTCTACATATTAACTTGTCTAATGTGTTGGAGTAAAGCTATAATCACTTCTCTTCAGGAGAGATCTCCAAAGCTATATTCACTGCAGCTGGTATAGGGAAAGGGGTCCACAGAGACCCCAGTCAAGCTTCAGCGACTGGGTCTGAAGCACTCCAGAGTCCCTAGAAGAAAGGAAGCTAACCTGGTGGAGATAGTCAGCATCCGGGGAGCCCTGTCACATTAGGCATTGTTACTAATAGCTGCCACATCCAATAATGCTGACCACCAGTTAGCATGTACCATTTTGCAAAGTGGGCAAAGGGCAGATTTTTCCATTTATTGCTATAGCAACTCTACTAGGACACAATAAAAGGTTAGGTCAACACTTTACACTTCATGTGTGATGACTGACCAGCAAGTCTTATTCCTCTCAGGGGCCTGTTTGGGAACTTACAACCCTATTTGGTCCAGTTTGGAAGATAAAAATATCCCCCTGAGCAGACCGCTTAGCCCTTCCTGCTTCTTTAAATGTAAGCATGGATGCAGGGGTCACAGCTGTGACAAGGCACGTCACACAAGTGGGCCTGGCCACCCTGACGACTCTTGTAACTTCAGGGCCGGTGCATGACCATGGCCTGCTCGGCCACAATACATTCAGTGACCAGCTGGAGGGGAGAGCTGTGCTGTGCAATTGCTCTTGTGGCTCACCCAGTGACTGCGTACTGGAGTGACCCACAAGAGGGGAGTGCACGGCTCTCCCCTCCAGCTGGTCACTGAATGTAGCGTGGCCAAGCAGACCGCAGTCTGATAGGAAATGCCCTCCGTGAGAGCAAATGGCAATTCCTGTCAGACCGGCTACTGCAATCCGCTACACATAATCAGGAGTCACAGAATGGGAAGGGGAGTAGATTGGGGGAGTAAAACACGTAGAGGGGCTGGGGGGATTATGAGACATATGGAGGAGCTGTGGGGGAGACACACAGAGGAGTTGTGTGGGGGTAGAATGGGGGGATAAGACACATGGAGGGGCTAGGGGGAGGAGTGAATAATACAAATGGAGTGGCTGGGGGGTAAAATAGAGGAATAAGACACATGGAGGAGATGCGGGGGGATAGATTGGAGTAATAAGAAACATCAAGGGTATGGAAAATAGAGAATAGAGTCAGCGCTAATATATCGGAGAGAGATACAAGAGGCAGCAATCCCAAACAAGGACTCCCTCAAGTGACCTTGGAATAAATACAAAAAACAATCAAATAGAAGGATGGGACTGCGCCAATAGACAGAAATGAAAAGTCCTTATTAAAATATGGAAATAAAGTCCAAATGTAATAAAAAACTTGGTATTGTGTTCGTCTCTGTAGTTTTGTTCCTTCCTGGTATATGAAGGAGGGTGATGAGTGATGAGATGGTGTGGAGTGATCCAACGGGTATCCAAATAAAAAAAGAAGAGATAATACTCACTTTTAGTAGAGCTTAATCCAGCTCTGGTGTGGATAGCTTGCAGCGGTATTATCCCCGCTTATAGGATATACGGTGAGCTTCCTCTTCAGTATGATGACCGGCAACCAGGTAGAAGATGAAACGAAAAAGCAATAATAGTGCAATATGTCCCAAAAAGTAGATAAAAGGTATAAAAATATAAAAGATACACTCACATTTAATAGAGCTTATACTAGCTCTAGTGTAGTAGGCTTGCAACGGTATGATCCCCCGTATCTGGGATATGCGGTGAGCGTTCGTTAGTACAGTTCTTTAAGGTGGTAGCAGGAGCTCAGGGAGAAGATAATAAAACAGCAATAGTGCTCTCAGTAAAATAATGCTGAATAATAAAATAAAATATACTCACAATATATAGGGCAGACTAACTGCTCTATGGTATAGGCGCAGGTGGTATGATCCCCACCTCAGGATTCGTTGGAGTATTGACGACAATAGATAAAAAAAGCCAGGTATTTAAAAATAAAAATAAATAAAAGATAGTGGTACAAGAGAATAAAGTGACCAAAATCTATTTATTAACAATAATTTAAAAAATATAATAGTATAATATCCAAACGCGTTTCACCAATGTAGGCTTTATCAATGGATTAAAAACATGACAACCTGGCTTATTAGAGTTTATATAGGCTATGAATAACTTTGAAAATTGCGCCAGAACTGCTCTGGCCAATCACAAAACGGATTGTAATTACTTACATAAAACAGTAAAAAAACATATTAGGCACATAAATATACCCAGTGGGATTTAAAATATATAATTTAATTAAAAAAACGAGGGTATGGGAGAATAAAACACTTGGAGGGGCTGGGGGTAGAATAAGACACATGGAGGGGCTAGGGGCATGGAAGAATAAGACAGATGGATGGGACTGGGGGAGAGAATGAGAAACAGAGGGGATGTGGGGAGAATGAGACACATAGAGGGGATGAGGGGAGAATGAGACAGATGGAGGGGCTGTGGGCTGTGGTGAAGAATATGACACGTGGGGGTGGGACCCTGGGCAATTTTCACACCGGGGCCAGGTGGTTTCTAGTTACGTCTTTGTTGGTCTGGCGGCATCCACCTCAACCCTCAGAGCCAGGCCCCCCTCCCAGACATCCATTGCGGCAACAGCGCAAGGGCACATCAATTGCTTGCTCCTGCTGCTTCTCCGTACGTGTGGACAAGTGGGCGGGATTATAAGATGAAATGTGACTGAGAAAGGAAGTGATGGGTCGTCAGGCGGAGGCAAGATGAACATAGGAACAGCAATGGTAAGATGTGTGTTACATCAGTCAGTATGTTTGTGTATGTTAGTTTGTGTTGGTCAGTGTGTGTGTCTGTATGGTTCAATTTGTGTGTCTGCATGGGTTCTTGTGTGTCTAAATGAGTTTGTATGTCTGGGTCATTGTGTGTCTGAATTGGTTAGTGTATGGATCGGTGTGTGTGTCTGCATGGGACACTGTGTATCTGCATGGGTAACTGTTTGTCGGTGTATATATGTGTGTGTCTGCATGGGTCAGTGTGTCTGTATCAGGGGCGTACCAAGGGCAAGTGGCACCCGGGGGGGGTCCTGGGTTTGGCACCCCCTGCCCCCCAGCTTCTCAAAAAAAAAACCTACTAAATTTTTATAATGAGTTATATTTTTACATTTTTTAAAACATTTATTGAACAAATTTGTAAACTTTTTAAAACCCCTGCCCCCCTCTACAAAATCCCTGCACCCCCTCGCACACAGTTACAAGCAGACAGTCACACACACACACAGTCACATGCAGACAGTCACACACACAGTTACAGGTAGAGAGTTACACACACACACACACACAGTCAGTTACAAGCAGTTACACACAGTCACGCACACTGTTACAGGCAGACAGTCACATATACAGTCACACACACGGTCACAGGCAGACAGTCATACACATAGTTACAGGCAGTCACGCACAAAGTTACATGCAGACAGTAACACACAGTTACAGGCAGCATCACACAGTCACAGGCAGACTGTCACACACAGTCACAGACAGTCACACACACACAGTTACAGGCATGCAGTCACACACACAGTTACAGGTAGACAATTATGCACACACAGTTACAGGTAGACAGTTACGCACACACACACAGTTACAGGTAGACAGTTACGCACACACGCACAGTTACAGGCAGACTCTTACACACACGTACACACAGTTACAGACAGACAGTTACACACACACACAGTTACAGACACACACACAAGACAGACAGTCACACACACACACAGTTACAGACATGGGCGTCTGCAGGGGGGGGCAAGGGGGGGCACTTGCCCCCCCCCTGGATTTTTCAGCTTGTTCTGCTATTTTTCGTGTGAGATTTAAAATGAACTGCAATACCGGAGAGAGAGTATGGAGAGAGACAGGGATAGGAAGCTGCATGTTATCCCTGCTTCTCTCTGCTGATTGAAACCGCAGGGGAACAACACATGCTGCCAGAGACAGCCTACAGATCAGGTAAGTGGGGGGAGGGGGGGAGAGGGGGGCAGCAGCCTATAGATTTTGGGGCAGCAGCCCATAGATTTAGGGGCAGCAGCCTGTAGATTTAGATTTTAAAGGCAGCCCATAGATTTGGGGAGGGGCAGCAGCCCTTAGATTTGGGGGGGGGGCAGCAGCCTTTAGATTTGGGGGCAGCAGCCTATAGATTTGGGAGCAGCAGCCCATAGATTTTGGGGGGTGCAGCAGCCTATAGATATATAGAAATGAACAGGAAGGGTCAGCAAGGAGCTTGAAGGTAAAGCAGCACAAAGGGTCAGAAATGAGCTGGAAGGGGCAGAAGGAGCTCAAAGGTAAAGTAGGAGAATGAGCAGGAAGGGCCTGCAAGGAGCAGGAAGGAGCACAAAGGGACAGCAAGGAGGACAAAGGTAAAGGAGCAGAAAGAATCAGAAGGAGCACAAAGGTAAAGTAGGAGAAAGAGCAGAAAGGGACAGCAAGGAGCACAAAGGTAAAGTAGAAAAGGGAGCAGAAAGGGATCAGAATAAGAAAGGAGCAGAAGGGCGCTAAATAAGCAGAAAGTAGCAGAAAGGTAAAAGAGCAGAAGGGGCCAAGGATAGAAAACAGTGTCAGAATAAAAAAAAAAAGACTGTCCAATGAAGGAGAGGAAAAGGAGATTGGAGCAGGAAGGACAAATTAAGTGAACCCTCCACTTTATTCTGGACACCACATCATAAGGCTTTGGTACCTGGGCCTGGCAGGGAAACGCTGGACCTACTCATCTCCAAAGGTAAAAAAATATCGGTGTTAATGTGTTCACTTTTATTTACTGAGTGTCAGGAAGCACAGAGTGCCGTTGGGTAGGGGTGTTGCTGATTGGTTAGAGCGGTCAGCTGGCACTCTAAGCCAATCAGTAGCTCCCCATTCATAAAAAGTAAAAATATTTTATGAACCGGGAACTAGCGATTGGCTTAGAGCGTCAACTGTCCACTTTAGCCAATCAGCAGCACCCATGCCTAACGTCAATCTGCACTTCCTTACACTCTGTTTCAGAAGCCAAATACCATTGAGTGACCTGGAGCTGGAGGAAGCCTTTGGGGTTAAACCATTTGAGAGCGATTTAACCCCTTAAAGGAAAGCGAGCACCCAGGGGCTTC